GAAATTCTTTAAACTAATGGCAGGTAAAAAAAAAAAGGACCAGAACCTTAAAATGTGTCCACTCAAAAAGATTCACACTTTATATATACACATGAGAAGTGCCTATGTATACCATGAGATGTCATCCAGAATGCCCTTGTGAGTCACAAAACAAGTGTTCTATTAGGAAAATGTCTTCTGTATTCGACAGTGTGGGCCTGCCCTTTCCACCTCTAGCACCTACATATTGGTAAGACCGCCCATCATAGTTTTACAGTAGATCAGTAGGTAATTATAGGTGGTTGAAGCACAACTTCAGGCACCTGCAAAATGTTCCTACTGCCACTTTACTTGGTTTAATGGCAAGGAGTACATGTATACTTTGATGCTGTATTTGAAAAAGGGTTCAGGTACACCTATGGGATCCCATAAACAAATGTGCTGCAGAACTTAATTCTAACTGCATCTGACCTTAGTTTTTTCTTAGTCCCCCTTTAAAGTCCCACAAATGCCTGTTGATCCTGCCATAGTAATCCCGTAATAGTGTGGTAACAATGCCGCACTGCTCCTGAATGCAGAGCAGAGTTGCCACTCTTATGAAGGCTTTGTCTGCTTGCACTACAGTGCAAAAAATGTTGCAGGGGGTGTTAGCATCAGTATCGCCTCTGCTGATTCTGTAGCTTGTCAGTCAACACCTGGTCACACTTAGTCCTGCCCACTGCTTTCTGAATTAAGAGCACTGCCTCTGTTGCTGAAATCCTCCCACTGTGAGCTGCAGTGTCTGGAAGGGGGAGTATGTGAGACACAAATAAAGGGGGATTTGGCTCGGTCAGGGAAGGTAAAGGGAAGTTGTTTGTTTATTTGATAAGGCTTGAACAGCACATAGTAACTGGGTTAGGTATTTTTTAAGACTATCAGCCTGCAGTCTTTAGTTGCACTTAAAAGAATTCTATAAACAAAAGTATTTTGATAGTTTTCAGTGGAAGATTTATTCAAATCTTTAAAAAGTACCTATTAATTTTATTGCAGTTTCTAAATGTAAAAGTACAAGTAATCTGATCTAAGCTTGACCAATACAACAGTTTTTGGTCTGTGCGCACCCAACTTTGGGCCCATTTACAGTGTTTTATTTTTGAAATGCATGCAGTTTCATTCCATTATGCCTCTGGCTGTTTTTTTTTAATTTGGTTGTTGTTCTTTATGGTTTCAAAGATCAAAGTCAGCCGTAGTACCCCCAATTACTCTGGACCCTCAAGTAAAGGCAGCCACAGACACCTGACCAGTAAATCACAGCCATCAGCCGTGACCATGATTACTCAGGACCCTCAGCAGAACCCGACCAAGACCTCAAATCACAGCTATCCAGTGTCCCTGATCACTCCAAACATCCAATCAAAAATCAACCACAGACATCTCATCAATCTGGACCTCCAATCATAGCCATCCACAATTTCCCTGACCCCTCTGTTTCCCAATAACACTCAGCTACAGAAGACACATCTGCAGTGTCCCTGATTTTTCTGGCTGTCAAGCACAGCTAGTCTTAGTGGCCTCATTACTCAGAACTGTAAAAACAGCCATCTACAACCTTTAGCCTCAAAAGAAAAGCAAGCCAGAGATCTGATCTTTACAAATTCCTGATCACAGCAAGCCACAGTGTCCCCATTCTTGTCATCCAGCAGCTCTCTTGCCACGCACCTTCACCTCACACGAAAGGAAAAAGGGGTACTGCACCACTAAAAACATTGAAAAAGGCATGCACAGTGAATGCTGCTTTCATTTTGCATGGTGGGGCATGGAAAGCAAAGAAGTGTATATTTTATAAAAGTCAGAGAGTAAAAGCCACAGGCTTTGTGTTCCTTTTGCACAGATGGAATTAATACCACTGAACATCATGGACCAGAGTTTTCCTTGCTGTTTCTGTCTGGGTGGGTTTCTTTCCAAAACACACCATGGACTCTTAATTGCTGGATGTCAGGAGGTGTACTGTGCCACCCCTGTCAGGAGGTGCACTGTGCCTGTGCCACTCCTACCATTTACAACTTTTGCATGGTGAGGAAGAATTGCTATACATCATTGCTTTTGTTCTCCGCAGATGTGTAACTATCAAAAATACAGGAGACATAAGGTGCTGATTTGTCATAAACGTTTAGATACAAGCAGTTTTTGGTGGAGTTTTATTTAAAAAGATATATACATACATATCTTATTACAGTTTCTAGAAAACCACAGATATGCAAAAACTTTAACCCTTTGGCTTGTCAGTGTTTGATCTACTGGCCAACGTGTCTTTGAAGTATTCAGTATAATATAAGCCAAATCATTCTTCTCCTGCCGAGCATGTCTGGGCACTGCTGGCAAATCAACTATTTGAATTTTTTTTTCTTCCTTTTGGTAAGTGAAAATACCTTGGCAAGCGCAATGTTTAAAAGCAGGATTTTGGTGGCATCTATTGAAAGCTTACATAGGACCTCTCCAACCCATACATTATTTTTTTTTTCAGCAGTCCAGCTGTGAACGAGAGTCTAATCCTTGGTGAATACAGAGGAGGTGCTGAAAGCCTCAATGGGACCTGTCAATACACTGCTGTACCGTATGAAAAGTTTTCTTTTTCAAGTGCTGCCAAAGGTGCCGGGGTGGTACCACAAATGATTTAAGGACACATTTTGACAGGGAGAGAAAGAAAGTGTCCTTAAATGACTGGCATTGACTCTAAATACTGGGGAGCATGAACCAATTAACAAAGTGAGGGCAGTCCTTTCAGTATCCATTTTCTATAGTCTGTGGCCTGAAGCACGTAATTAAATGCATGCCTCTTTCTTCACACTGTAAGAACATACAGAGTGGGGTCTGCAGGTCCACTGCATTATCTCATCCTGCATTCATTCACTGGCTTACAAAGCCACCATCTGCGCTAAGCAACCTACATCATCGCCCATAAAGAACAGTTACCTCAGATGACATCATGGACAATGTTTAACTTATATAAAATACATTTATTTATGCAAAACAACCTATATGGAATATGCAGACCATTAAAATAATATGCGGAAATAGCGGGTAGGCTTTTTATTTACATAGAAATGCTTAAACTGAGATTCTGTGGCCTTGAAATGACAGACATATCATTACACTTCAAAACAGCATTGCTACAGAAGGAACGTAGTAAAGGCTAATCGGAATTGTCAAGCACCATTTTCATTAAATATGTATTGTTCATATTTTCCATTTCAACTCACTGAGGGGACAACGCTAGCAGTCCATCTTCTGTACCCAGCTATCATCTTACATGTGCTGAAAGAAAGCCTGTCATGAGGGAAATAAAAAGGGGGCTGCCATTGATGACTTTTGCTCTGAAAATGATGGTTGCTTAGCTTTATCTGGCTATACAACTTTAAAGAGACTCTTTCACTTTGCCAGTTCAGGCAAACTTGCCAATAAGAGGTGTGCTTCCAGAAATAGTACCTTTTTTGATGCGTTCTGGTGCGTTGAGCAGCCTATTTAAGTGAACAAGCTACCTTACTGCAATATCTCTGAATTGAGAAAGCTGGTTGGATGGCCAGTGAAACGTCTTCAAGAAAAATACGGCCAGTCCAGTTGCTTTGACATATTTTTTACAGATATACCATGACCTGGATGAATGAGAGCCTTCACAGACTTAATGCAATACACATTCATGAGTGGCATAACACAAGTGCAACAGTGTGAATGGGCCCTGAATGAAATGAATGGGATGTTTCATTTTCTACATTCACTTTTTATAAAGGGTTAGGGTGACCAAAGCTAAACAGCTCCCTCTGAAATTGATTGTGACCTCAATACCTGTACACACTCATAATTGGTACACACTCATAATTGACTTGCATGAAATCATAAATTTAGGTGCGATAACCACAAGGTAGACAGAGTAGTGTGCACATCTTTGTTAAGAATGCACATCTGCTGCATACAAATTTAAGTGTAACAGGCAATTTGGGAAATGTATATTACCATTGTATATTGGTTATTAGAGTGACAACATCCCCGCACTTTTGTTTTTTATTTACATTTTTTTTTTTTGGTAATTTGTCACTGGAAGGAGTAGGAAGGAGGAACCTATTTAATAGGATTTAATGGAATTAAAACACTCCATATTAGTATGGCAGGGGAAGTACAGAGCATCTGATAGCACGTAGCAGCTAACATTGAAATTAACTTGTTCTGTAATGTTAAAAATGTTTTCCCAATCATCCAAGTAACTTCCTCAGGGAGTGTCTTGATCATTTTGAGGAAGCTCCTTGGGTGAGTGGTGAAATGTCGTCAACATTACAGTCTACTTAAAAGTGACTAACTACTACTAGAGATGCGATGATCTGGATAAATAAGAAACTTCACAGACAACTTTTGTAAGCTTTTTACAGTTGGCTGTGTCCCCAGTTGAGATCACCCATCACTTCCTGCCACAGTGACTATGTTATAACTAGGACAGGAAGTAAAGGGAAACATCTTCAAGGGGAAAAAAAGTTTAAAAGTTTGACGGGTTCTGTTTCCTACTCTGAAACTAAAAAAAGCTTTCACCAGTCCATAAACACATAGATTGTTGGACATGCTGGAGACACTATGGCAGGGGTGCTGCGTTTTCCTTTTGCCTGAAGAGCTGTACTAGTAATCCACTAAGCAAGGAGAAGCTCTTTCGACACTCGTCACTGTGGTGCAGTCTCAAGTACTGACTAAAAGGCAATAGAACATAGTGAATACTCTGGATGTTCCCAATTACTTGGTGCATCCATAAAAAATGGCTTTAAAGGGCGATTCAACTTTCTTACCAAATGAGAGAAAATTAAATTACCCTCACAAATCCCCCCTCTCGCCCCACCCCTGCTGGTCATACCTTTGCTGGTAATGCCTCCCAACCTGTAAATGGCAAGCACTCATTGGTCAGCATGGTGACCTGGTTAGAAAGGGGGTTCCAGCAAAAGGTATGGCCAGGGGGTGGAGAGAGAGGGCGCATTTGTGTGGGTAATTTTAAGCAGTCTTCTTCAAGGCACAATTTGGACATTTGCTAAAACCGGTTTAATCTTCGTCTTCTGATCTCATCCAAAGATGGTTGCTGTGCATCTTGACGTAAAGTTCTCCGATGTCCTAAAAGTGAAAACAGATGAAATTTTTATCATGTGCACAATGTGTCTAAAACAGTCAAAAATAGGATAAAAGGTAGAATCATTAGCAATTCCTCAGCACTATCGGTAAGGGCCCATTCACACTTGTATAAGTCCGCTGTGTTTTACTGCATGTAAATTTATTTCTACTAGAATTAAAATGTATTTTAACCTCAGTGGTTCTCCTTCACTGTTCTGTGAACAAAAAAACATGCATTTAAAATGCAAATGCTAATTAAGAATGCAGGCACCTGTTACTGCGTGTACATTGCTATGCAAAGGCTCTAGAGTGCAGTTGGGTTGCCTTGCCTCTCTCCGAAAACGGATCTGCCTTTATCTTTAACAGTATCTGTGGCAAACTTCATTTGGCTTTATGATAACATGGGTATCACTTGCCCCTGCAGAATTATCCCTAGGAAATGATGGAGTATCCAGAAAAGGGTAAGTGGCACTATTGCTCAGCATACAGCCCAGAAAGGTCACAGCCACAGCGGGTGGCAGACAGCAAACTAGTGAGTAATGAAATTATTTAAATTCCTTGCAAATACTGACCAACCTTTTAACTGGAAGATAATGGAATCTAACTTGATTATGATTATTGCTGCCATGCCATACCTTCAAAACTGGACAGATATGAATTACACAGGTTAGGTGGCTGAATCAGAGCCTTAGCTAGCTCCTTTTGTGCCCGAGGCAAGAACAGAAAATTGTGCCCCCCCGACAGACATGTGATCGCATGCGCGGCGTCATGCGACAGTATGTGCCCCGTCTCCAGGATGGTGGCGCACATGTGCAGAATGTGCTGGTGGCCAAATCAAAATAGCATAAAAAATGTGTTTCGTTTAACCAAACTAATGAAAACATTTTGTTTTCGTTCATTTCGTCCGAATCAAATTTTTAGTCTTTGCACATGTCTAATATTACACTATATTGCCAAACGTATTGGGACACCCTTCCAAATCATTGGTTTCAGGTGTTCCATGGAATGTCCTTGCTACTAAATATTCCACAGTCAACTGTTAGTGGTATTATAACAAAGTAGAAGCAACTGAGAACAACAGCAACTCAGCCACGAAGTGGTAGGCCACGTAAAATGACAATAAAATGAGAGGGGTCAGCCCATGCTCAAGTGCACAGTACGCAGAAGTCACCAACTGTCTGCAGAGTCAATAGCTACAGACCTCCAAACTTCGTGTGACCTTCAGATTGGCACAACAACAGTGCGTAGAGAGCTTCATGGAATGGTTTTGCGTGGCTGAGCAGCTGCATCCAAGCCTTACATCACCAAGTGCAATGCAAAGCGTCGGATGCACTGGTGTTAAGCACGCTGCCACTGGACTCTAGAGAAGAGGAGACGAGTTCTCTGGAGTGATGAATCACGCTTCTCTGTCTGGCAATCCGATGGACGTGTCTGGGTTTGACGGTTGCCAGGAGAACGGTACTTGCCTGACTGCATTGTGCCAAATGTAAAGTTTGGTGGAGGAGGGATTAAGGTGTGGGGTTGTATTTCAGGGGTTGGGCTTGGCCCCTTAGTTCCACTGAAGGGAACTCCTAAAGCATCAGCATACCAAGACATTTTGGACAATTTCATGCTCCCAACTTTGTGGGAACAGATTGGGGATGGCCCCTTCCTGTTCCAACATGACTGTGCACCAGTGCGCAAAGCAAGCTCCATAAAGACATGGATGAGCAAGTTTGGAGGAACTTGACTGGCCTGCACAGAGTCCTGACCTCAACCCGATAGAATACCTTTTGGATGAATTAGATTGGAGACTGCGAGCCCGGCCTTCTCGTCCAACATCAGTACCTGATCTCACAAATGCGCTTCTGGAAGAATGGTCAAACATTCCCATAGACACACTCCTATACCTTGTGGACAGTATTCCCAGAAGAGTTGAAGCTGTTATAGCGGCAAAGGGTGGGCCAACTCAATATTGAATCCTACGGGCCTGGGATGCCATTAAAGTTCATGTGCGTGTAAAGGCAGGCGTCCCAATACTTTTGCTAATATAGTGTATGTGTGCATGAGTGTGTGTGTGTGTGTTTTTTTATTATTATTTTATTTTTACTGTTGGGGGCTTCGGGGGAACAGACTCCTGATATTTCCCTTTTTGAATAGATAAAGAAATTGAGGACACAGAGTCCTCACTCTTTTTCTGCAGCATCTGTTCTAAGTGAATGGAGAGCACTCACTACTGAGGCTTCCCATTCATTCATTCCCAAACGGGTGATAGTAAAATATTTACGATTATCCAGTTATCAATGGGTAACCCCTGTAGAGAGTGCTACTACCCATTGAAAACTCATGAATGAACAGCACTACAGCAGTGCTATATGTCCCCAGTGCTTGCCATGGCAACAGGGGCGAGGGGCACAGCCAGGCCTGTCCTGGCTGCGCCCCCTCTCGACTACGCCTCATGTGAGTGCCTCACATCTAACTGATTTGGTCGTGGCCTGTGTAATTTATATGCACCAGGTTTTACAGGGTTAAAGTGGAAACTGTTTATGATATCTTGAGCAGCTTTTCCAGAATCTTTCCTCTATCCCCACCATGAGTACAACCTCACATGCACATATGCAAAATAATTGCTGAATAATCTATGTGGATAGAATAAAACATATTCTATTATGAAACATATAAAACATAAGCTGTTGGTGGTACTCGGGGACAGCTTTGGGGTAACACTGATCTGGAGCCAAAATAAAAACTGTCTAAAGTGACCTATCAGATGATAGTTTTCATTTTATAAATTGCAATCACAAATGACAGCTGAAATCTGGTAGGCCATTTTCACTATCAATGAGCCTGAGTTGGGCTTAGTAAAATGCTGGACACTAAATGCATTCCTCAAAAGTAAACTATTTTTTTTAATACAAACGTTGCCAGTAACTGAGCTACAGTATAACATGGCTTTTCTAGTCTTCATGATACCCATACAGGGGACCTCAAATACCCTCTGCACAAAGTATTCTGTTGGCTGCAGGGCCAGGGGGTGGACAGACATCAACAAGATAATGCTTCTGAGTCAGCACTTTAAAGGCTGTTTATCTAGAAACAAGAGTTAAGTATTTGGATTTGGCTTAATGCAGGTCAGCCAGAGGAAGCACTTTATTAATGAGCCACTTAAGCTAAAGCAGCATAACAGCTTTAAGTAAACTGTAATTAGTTTGCAGTACAGCTCATCTTCCAGCAGGTGGCAGCAGAGTCGTACACAGGACGCTGCTGGCAAATTAGGACAAATGCCAGTCAGCAAAGCTTTCCACATAGTAAGCAGAATTAGGCTTATTTTGAAACAGATGGGCACTACAGAAGCTGCTGTACTGAATGTTATGGAGTTGTTTATTGTCTGGCTGGTTTCAAAATCAGGGATTACTCTGCAGCATCTAGCAGTTTCTGTGTCACATCAGGCTGAAACCACAGCGAGTGAAAGCCCTCGGGATCCCCATGTAGGATTTTTTTTTTCTTTCTTTAGTAATCCAGACCAAAAAAACAAAACACGTTGCTCTGTGTATGCCTTATGACAACTCATGGTTTTATTATTGAAGGCAACGCTTTGCAATCGTATCACAAAGAGAAAATAAAAACACCTTTATCCCCAGGCCATCAATGTACAAAGCACCGTATTAAAATAATAAAAATGATTATTTTAATGTATAATTCATTTACAATTGTATTAATTATATATATAATGAAGCTGCATTTATATACACGGCAGACAACAGCTTCTTAATTTCTCAAACTATTATTTCCAGTGAATTAAATCTAACTTTAATTGGAAGCAACACCAACTGTTCCCATTTAAGGTCTAACACATGGAGATGCCATGTTGGACATGTGATCTGAAAATATTAGGGTATCATAATATACTGTTCTGATGGCTTGTTAGATTACCCGTTATGAACAGCTTCCCTAACAGGGCCTGACAATGACATCACCAGGCCTGAACCGGTTATGTAGCATTTGGAGGAAGGGATGCTGTCAGAGTCGGCAGGATGGTGGGCTGCTAAACCTCTTTACAACCCTGTTGTATATTTTGAAGCCTATCTCCAGATAAAAACGTTACAGCGGGGCTACCCCCACACTGCAAGGGTTAACTGCTGATTTTAGTCTTGGTAAGCAATTTTACTTACCTGACCCCCGCTCCCCACAGTCAGTTCTCACCTCTCTCCGCTATGGGCCCTGCATTAGACATGATGACATCCGCAGGCCTCCGATCACCAGAGCAGAGGGGGGAAGAGCCTGCCGGAGTCGGCCTCTGAGCCATTGGGAGAGGGGATCAGGTAAGTAAAATTGCTTTAAGGAATCCTCCTAGAAAAAAAAAATGAGCAGTTAACCCTTGCAATGTGGAGGTAGTCCCACTGCATGGGGAGTTTTATTTTTAATCTGGAGATAGGTTTTAAAAACCACTGAAGGTTATAAACCTTTGAATCACACCCTCAATAGTGAACCTCTGATATGAATGCATACACATTATTGTTCTGTTGTGTATTGGCATCCTGTATATGCCAGAGATGCACTTTGTTCCCAGCTTGACGATGTTCATCATTTCACAATCTGATATCACATGAAACTTGAAGCTCAAGATCCAAAATTCATACATTGGAATAAGTGCAGTTTTCATCCAAAGATTTATAAATCTCACTGCTCCATTTACTGCTATCTATTTTATTTTGCAACTGCAGGCTTCTATTCTTATCTTAGGAAACCAGTAATATCCTCATACTGGTCTCATCTGCCAGATTAATGTTGTAATTAACGGCAACTGAAGCTCGTCTAAATGTGTCTGCTCAATTAAGAGCTGCCTGCCAGTTGCTTTTCTTGAACAGGAAGATAGAGCACATTACATCTTCAATGTAACATCCCTCTTCCCCAATAAAATATAACTTGTCTGACATAAAACATTTTTAGGCACTGAAACAGCGAGTCATGAAACAGCAAGGTAGAGAAATGTCATGCAGTCTGTATCGTTGAAACTTTTGGCT